GGGCCCCCCGCTGTCGCCGCCTCGCCGGCACACTCGGCATCGCCGCCAGCCCCCGCTGTGGAGCCCCGGAAGCCGCAGATCCCGCTGATGCCCATGAGCGATGCCCGGAGCGACCTGCTGGCAGCCATCCGCAGGGGTGAGCAGCAGGGGTGGCAGCGGGAAGGTGGGGGATGGGTCCCCAGCGCTACCACCATGGTGGCAAAATACCTCTTGGCATAGAGTTGGGTGGCATTGGCTTTGTTGAGTGTAAGTTGAGTCCCAGGTGGCCAGGTTATGCGTGAAGAGGGTGGCACCCAGGTGGGACCTGGGGAGGGAAAGAAATGCAATGCAGGGGGTTGGAGGGAGGTGGGGGAAACCCATTGCCGGAGGTGGGCCAGAGCCCCACAGGGATGGCCAGCAGCTCTTGTGCATGTGGCCTCCTCCCATGCTGTAGCAAAGTGCTCCAGAGTCTCTCCCATTTACCCTTCCTGCAAATCTTTAGGTGGAACAGCGGATTTGACCTTTGAGAAGGTCCAACCTCTTCAGGTCGAGTGGTGGAAGTGGAGGAGCTCTGTTCTTTACATAGCTTTATAATTGCATGCATCATTATTATCTCATATAGCTTTATAATCGCGGGCATCCTCCTGCAAGGGGGCTGCACTCATCTTGTTTCAGCGAATACTTTCAACTGGGAGGGATGCTGCACATTGGGTGCACCCATGGGTGCTGGTCACCTTGCCCCTAAAGCCCTCCCCCCTTCCCTACTGCAGGAATCCAACTCCGGAAAGTCCAGGAGCAATGGGAACAAGAGGCCAAAAAAGAGCCCGTGGGCAATGACGTAGCGACGATCCTGTCCCGCCGGATCGCTGTGGAGTACAGCGAGTCCGACGACGACTCCGAGCTGGATGATAACGAGTGGTCGGACTGAGGGGCCCCAGGGCTGGGCTGGCGCCGAGCTCGCCAGCTCTGTACAGGTGTGTATAGGCGCCTTCCCCAACGTCGATGCCAACACGCGCGGGCGGCCCCGCTCATTCAGGAGCTTTGCTTTTACACCATGTTGAAAACCCTTCGGGCAGCAGCAGCACTGGTAGGATACACCTCGGAGGCAGTGAGACCAGAAATTAGCAGCACCTTCACGTTTAATGACTTCAAATATGCTCTGAAGGCAGGTCAATAGGATTACTCCAGATTTACACCTGGAGCAAGACCAGAGACTAGTCCTGAGTGTGCTTTGCTGGAGAAGGGAAACCCAGAGGCAGTAGTGCTTTTTCAGCTAGATGTTAAATGCGTTAATGAGAAGCTCCTGGAGAAGAAGCCTGATTGCACAGCTGGTGTCACCGCAGGGATGACCAGGCACTGGGTTTGGGGATGCTCTGCTGCCGGCATTTGTAGGATCGGGCAGCTCCAAAGGCTGCGTGTGGGCAGGAGCCTCCTTCCCCAGAGCGCGATGTGCGGCGCTTTGCAGCGGTTGCGTGGGGATGGTCACCGCCGTGCTGTTGCTCCTTGGAGAAGACCAAGGCATTGGTGACCTGAACCCATTTCCATCCTTGGGACTGGTTTTCTGGGAGAAGGCAAGGCTGGTGCCGCTGGCAGGGAGACACAGCGCTTGCCCAGGCTTTGGAAAGTGCAATGCGTGCTGGTGGCCTTAGCGCTGCACCGTTTCAGTGTTATTTGAAAAACAAAGTCGTTAGACAAAATGCTGCTTTTAGGTAAACCCTCAACTTGCACTTTGCAGCCCCACAACCTGCACCCGTACAATTGAGATCAACTCAGAGCCAGGCACTAATCCCCCCCTGGCCTGATCCTGCCCCATCCCTTAACCCCACAGGCGGGCACTGATGGGGGAGCCTGGAGAGCTGGGCCCCCCCCCCAAAATACCAGTTTGCTCATCAAAATAGAGCGTGATTCATCGAAGGCTTTTCACGCAGCTACGAAGGGAGGAGGCAGGGGAAGGCAGAGCGAAGGGGTGGGGAATACTGGGCATGTCACAGGCAGGAGTAAGAGCCTGCAGAGAGCTGGGAGGGGTTGCCCACCGGGAGAAAATGGGCCAGGACCAGTGGTGGACTTGCCCGATGCAGCATCCCGAGGTACTCTCTTGTGTGCCCATATGCCACGAGACCCTGAATGGGGGGAAACTGAGTCCCCACATTGCATTTCTTCTGGGGAGAAGCTGGGTTCTGAGCCCCCCCGCCAGCTCTCCCAGTAGCGCCATATGCTACAAAAGCAGTATTTTGCCTAGCTAGGAGTGACCAGAGCTGTAAAGGAGGTGGGAGGATATGGCTGGGACCCATAAAGCCGATGCTTAAATTCACCCTGAGAAAAGCTAATGTTGAACGATGCCCCAGGCATCTGCACGTTTTCCTCCTGGTAAGAAGCCCTTCATGGCAAGGTGCACCAAACCCTCCACCCAGCTGCTGAGGAACATCCCCGGGAGCCCCCCCTTCTCCTGAGTGACACAAAGTGACCTCTTGTCCCTTGGACGTCACACCTCCTGCATCCCCACATCCAGGCTGTGAGCGGTGGTGCTGAGTGGGGGGGCTCAGATGGAGGAGCAGCGTGGACGTGGGAGAGGGCAAAGGGGGTTGGGGAAGGGTTTGGGGGTGCCCTGCCATGGGCCACATCACCGTGTTTGGCCCTCCTTCCATTAGGGAAAGCTCCCCTTGACTTCAGCAGGGCTGATTGTCAGAACAGGAACCGTAAAGAAAATCCTCAGATTTAACCCCAGAATTCCCCATCTCAGCAATGCTGATGCCGTTGCTGGGACACTCGTCCCACTCCGCCTATCAAGGGGCAGCCTCTCCCAGTGCAAAGGTGACCCAGCAGTTTGGGATTAGCTGGACGGATCAACCCCAGGTCCCACATCAGCCTCCTGGGAGGCTGGCAGAGAGGTTCCGCATCTCCCATCCCACTGAGCTCCTGCTGTGGGCGGGCAAGAAGCAGCAGAGCAATAGGACACATGGAATAGCTCATCTGCAAAACCCAAGGAGACAGGATTGACCAAAGGGGGCGGGGAGACATGGTGTCCTACAGATGACCAGGAAATTCCTGATACTTGGTGTTCACCAGGAGCTTTCACTTCTCATGGTGACCCTCTGAGATTCAGAGAACCAACTGCAAAAGCTTTCAGTCAAAGCCTGGCATCTCCAACCAGGCAGAGAGCCCCTGCGATGCCCACGATGGGCTTTCCTAGGCAAGGCAGCTGGGGTTTGGCCTGGAGCAAGATCAGGAAAAAGTCTCCTAAAAATTCAGAGTCATATTTAAGTGTCACCTGGTAGTATTTGTAGTGGAGTGTTATTAATGTAGATGCAATCGTGATACTGGTTGTATGTGAAGAGAAACTGGGTTTATGTGGATAATTTAGAAAGAGTTAACAACCCTTTGCGAGAGAGAGAATAGCAGAGGGCTGGAAGAGCTGTGGTTACCTGCTGCTGTGGTCCAAGGGCTGCAGAGTTGGCTGTGGGGACCCAGGTGGGGCTCAAGCAGAGCTGGGGAGTCCCACCAGCACGTGAGGGCAGGGAAGGGGCTCTGGGACACACAGGGCTGGCTTGTCCCTTGGGTCTCTGACTGCCCCAATTCTAGGAAGCTGAGCTGATCCTGGAAGGAACTGGAGAGGAACCGAGTGCCCCAAAAAGACTGGGGTCTCTTCTTTTCATGCACTACTTGCATTACACGTGTCACGTGAAACTGTGATAATTCTGGTAGGACTCCATTGGCATGTGGTGGGTCAGGGTTGTCCCTGTGGCCTCCCAGTCACCTCACAGCAACTTTGCTGTGCTTGCAATTGGCAGCGGTCGATCAACCCATGCTACTGTCAGAGTCAATGCCATTGCATGGCAAAGCGCTTGACAATCACGTAATTCATGCCTTGCCTGCCCCATGCACAGGTCACACCTGCAGAGTGGATGCACAGCTTGAAGGCTCACCCTCCTTTCCTCACACTTTTACATTCTTATACCATCCTCTCCTCTTCGGACATCCCGGCACATCTTCAGCATTTGTACTCTGCTAAAGGCCATCCCCAGCCCCTTATATCACAAGCCCATTTCACATGCTCAACTCCAAAGCAAGCCAGCAGGACCATAACCTCCTGGCATAGCAGTTGATTGAAGACATCACGATCCAGCTCTTCCAGGGATCTGAACTGCCCCAGCTCTGCTGAAGCTGTCTTGATACCAGGGATGGGGCTGATTCACAGGTAGCCTTCTCCCCAGCGAGATGTCTACATCAGAGCTTGTTGCTCAGGTTTCTTGCATAGCTGGTAGAGAAGTAACCTGTATAGTCAGCATGGGCTGTAGACACCCATTTCTGGTCTGATCATGGCACACCTTGCTCTTCCCAACCCTCTCCTGGCAGCACCACGAGGCAGGCAAGCACATGGTGGCACCGGGCACCCCAATCTTGCAATACAGCCATTCCTGCAAGGCCAGCTCTGCTGGCAGGCCAACATCCTCAGTGCCTTTGCTTGAGGGACTCAGCCACATCTGAGGGTGACCATCTTTATTTTAGGTGCACTCATCTATTTCTTTTACCCAGATGACCTATGAAATCCAACAGAAGTGACACCAACTTCTTGGTTGGGCTGGGTTAGCTCTGCTGGAGTTGGTTGTGCCGTACTAATTAACACTGGCTGGCTGACCCATATGCTGCGTACTCAATATTTTGTACGTATGTGCCTATTTCCGTATACTCTTCCAAAAGTAGGCCATGCTGCGTTACACAACCTGAAATGCTCAAATCCTCACGTGGGCTGATATAAAAGTGAATATTTAAATATTTTATCTAGCTTGGCAGACATTAAAAAAAACAATCCAGGTCACAGATGATTGAATTTCTCCTCTCTCAAGTGGGCTGAGGAGATTCTCCTGTACATTAAGGTATCATGTTCCATGTTAAAATATAGCAGTGGCATTTCATTGCCAACAGATAATCACAGAGTGCCAAACATTTAATGAGCCCAACTGATCTCCCGAGTTCTTCTCTCCATTTTGTCTGCCTTTCTCCTACTTGCCAATTTATGGGCACAGATTAAAAATAATAAATATGACTGCTAACAGGGGGAAGTAAATTCTGTGTGCATGCAAATGAATTGGGCGGGAGTCAGTGGAAGAGTAAATAATCCAGTCTGGTTCTGCTTAGAGATATTAACAGCAGGCTATAGTCCTTGAGGTCCATCAGGAATCTCTTTGACATATCTGATTTGGGTGAAAAGGGCCATTATGGGGACCACTGTGCCCATGGCACACCAGTTGTTGCCCATGAAGGCTACATCAGGTATAAAGCTTGGTCTTGCTCAAGTTTCATGAAGGTTGGTGGAAGTCTAGCAGTGTTCGCGTCCTGGCATTGCACCCTCAGCATCTCCTTGATGTTGAGTGAACATCAGAGCTGGCCGTTGACACTGGTGGCTCTTAGAGGATTGGTGTCCCAAAGGAAAAAGGGATTGGGCAGTTTCTAACTTTCCACCCTGGGCAGAGACCTAGAGAGGAGCAAGCATGACATCCTATGAGAGCTCCTGCTTTTGCAGCTATTTTATCTGGGGAAGGTTTTATTCTGGTGACAAACATACAGCTGAACATGGCTTCTCCAGAGAGCTCCCTTCATGTAAGAGCCCTCAAATTTCCTCCCAGCAACTTTTCCATCTCTTACCTCCCTTTCAAGACACCCAGCAGCCTGAAAAGGAGCTTTGCAGACTCCCCTAGGAACAGAGCCTGAATTAACACCTCAGCTTTAATGATAAATGAAAGCTTCCCTTGGATGGAGACATGTTGTAGCACTGGAAGTGGTATTTTGGAAAGTGCTTTCCAGAGGGTGCATGGTCAGCAGGAGCACCATGCTCTTTGCTTGTGGATGGACCACAGAGGGGCATGGGAAGCGCTCCCTGTCATGAGATGTGGGCAAGGGGAGCATAGGCGGTTCCTTTCACCACAACCC